GATTTAGAAGAAGGGACCAAAATCTCTTTACTTCACCTGAACTCAAAAAAGCAAGAGTAACAATCATGATTTCAAAGTAATAGGAAAAATAGACTTTATTATAAGAGAAAAACAGGAAACTTTATTTTGCTGAAAAATACTGTAGACAATGAATTAATTTCAATGTTTTATATATACATATGCACTAAAATGGCATAGCATCTAAATCTTTAATGGAAAATCTAAAGAGATTGAGAAGTAGATAAAAACATTATAATAATGAATGACCTTAATGTATCCCTTTCAGACCTAGACAATTCTAGCAAAAAATAAACAATAAAGAAGTTAATAAATAGAATTTTTAAAAAGTTAGATTTGATAGGTCTCTGATGATTATTGAATGAGAATAGAAAAGAGTATGGAAAAATCTCAGCTGTGCCTTGCACCTTTAAAAAAGTGTATTGGGGCATTATAAAGTAAAAAATTCAGAAAAACAGAAATTGTACTCAATTACTACACTCAATATAACAAAATCCTATTCAATAAAGTATTAAAATTGGTTGGAGACTAAATAATAATCCCAAAGAATTTGTGTGTAAAAAAATAAGTAACAAAATATAGATAATTTTATTAGCAATAATCACAACAATGAGACAGCATACCAAAATTTTTGTTTCACACAGTCAAGGCAATTCTTAAGGGTAATTTTATGTCTCTAAACATCATCATCACTAAAAGAGAGAAACAATATATCAAATTAATTGAGCATGGAACAAAAGAAACCCCTAGAAACCCCAATTTTTTAAAAATCCCCATTAAATACCAAAATATAAGTTGGAAAAATCAAAGAAGATAACAAAATTGAAAGCAAAACAATGAATTAATAACTAAAACTAGTAGTTTTTTAAAGTAAAAATAAAATAGATAATTCATTAGATTTTTTAAAAGAGGAAACTAGTAGCTTAAATAAAAATCTTATTTACCACAAATGAAGAGGAAAAAATGATATTATTAGAAATTATTTTGCCCAAGTATATGATAATAAATTTACAACTTGGATGAATGTTTACAGAAATATAAAACACAGGTTAATAGAACAATAAATAAAGAATTTAAACAAGCTAATTTTGGTGGGGATGAGGAGAGAGAAACTGAACAAGACATAAATGATCTACCAAAGAAAAAACCCTGAGATTAGATTGAATCTTTTTAAACAATCAAAGAAATATTCATAAAAACTACAAAACTAATGAAAACAATGGATCCTGCCAAATTCTTTCTTTTACACAAATATATCCTTGATACCTAAGCAAGAGTGAAAACAGAAAGAAAACTATAGACCACTACTCCTAATGAACATTGAATGCAAATAAATAAATAAAATATCCAAAGAATGCAGCAATATATCACAAAGATTATATACTATGACCAGTTTACATTTATAGTAGGAATGTTTATGCATGGTCTAGTATTAGGAAAACTATAAACAAAAATGGTCATGTAATTACAAAAAACAACAGCAATTATATGATTAGTATGTTAATAGTTACAGGAAAAAGCTTTCAACAAAAAAAATTGTTAAAAACACTAGAAAACTTTGAAAAACATGGATTTTTCCTTAACATTGTAATTAATACATATTTAAAACAAAGATTCAGCTTTTGTTAAATGAAGGTAAACTGATTGCCTTTCCAATAAGATTGAGGTTAACATACAGCTATTCATTATCATCACCTCTCTTTGTTAGAGTGCTAGAATACTAGCTAAAATAATAAAACTAGGAAAATGAAATTAAAGGACTAAGCATAGGAAAATAAGAAACAAAATTATGGCTTTTTGTAGATGATATGAAGGCGTATTTCGAGAACTGGAGAAAGTGAACTAAAAATAATTTTGAAACAATGACTTCAGAAAAGTTGCAGAATATATTAAAAATCTACATAAATCATAAGCTACAAAATAAATTATTGTATTTTATCAATAAAGCTCAGAAAGAAAAGTAGAGAAAATACACTCAAAATAGCTACAGAATATATAAAATACTTTAGAGTCTACCTATTAATTCACACAAGGGGATTATGTAACTGTGTGTCCTATACAACTATAAAATGCTTTATGGAAATATATACCTAAATAATTAGAGAAATTTAAATTGTCCACTGTAAGGCTGAGTCAATAATATTAAAATGAAAAACTACCTAAATTAGTTTACTTATTTAGTGCCATACCAATTAAACTACTACAGATTTAGTTTGTAGAAAAAGAAAAAAATAATGAAATTCATCTTGAAGGAAAAAGGTCAAGGATCTCAATGGAAATAATGAAAAACAAAGGAGGTAGATGGGGATCGGGACCTAGCAGTGTCAGAGCTCAAAGTGTACTACAAAATCATCAAAAGCATTTAGGACTAAGAAACAGAAAGATTGATCAGCAGAACAGATTAACCAAGTAGCCTAGTGTTTGATAAACCAAAAGACTTGTGCCATTGTTATAAAAGCTCACTATTTGACAATAACTTCTGGGAAACCTGAGAAGCATTCTGACTGATAACTAGATATAGTCTAAACATCTCTAACCACATGAGATCCAAATGGATATATGACTTAGATATAAAATTTCACATTGTAAACAACTAGAGGAACAAGGAGGAAAATATCTTTTAGAGCTATAGAGGAGGGGCAGCTAAGTGGTGCAGTAGATAGAGTTCTGGCCTTGGAGTCAGAAGGACCTAAGTTCAAATTTGGACTCAGATACTTGACACTTACTAGCTATGTGACCCTGGGCAAGTCACTTAACCCCAATTGCCTAAAAAGAAAAAACAAACAGACACAAATTAGAAGGGTAACAGGGAAAAAATTCTTTACATCAAGTTTTTCTGTTAAGAATCTCATTTCTAAGATATATAAGGAGCTAATTCAGATTGGTTTGAAGAAGAGCTATTCCCCAGTAGAACTTGGGAGATGTGATATCAAAGGAAATGAATAGGCAGTATTCAAAGGAAGAAATCCAAGCATTCAACAATCATATGAAAAATTCTCCAAATCACTAATAACTAGAGAAATGAAAATGAAAGCAACTCCAAAGTTCCACGTCATACTCATCACATTGGCAGAACTGACTAAAAAGGAAAATGACAAATGTCGGAGGGGCTGCAGAAAAACAGGTACATTAATCTACTGTTAGTAGAACTGTGAATTGGTATAGCCATTCTGGAAAACAATAGAAAGTATGTCCCCAACATTACTAAACTGTGCATATCATTTGACTCTAATACTCCTGTTTGGCCTTAACCCCCAAGAGGTCAAAGAAAGAGGAAAAAGACTGATTTGTCCCAAACTATTTGTATCTGCTTTTTTGTGGTGACAAAGACCTGAAAACTAAGGGAGTACCTAACAATTGGGGAATGGCTGAACAAATTATGTAATATTAATGTAATGGAATATTATTGTGTCATAAGAAATTACAAAGTGAGTTTTCTAGGAAACCTGGGAACTAATGAATATGAAGTGAACAGGTCAAGGAAAACAATTAACTCAACAATACTGTGAAATGTAAGCAATTTTGAAAGCCTTAATTTACATCAGTAATGACTAACCATGATTCCAGAGGACCAATGATAATGCATGCTATCACCCTCCTCCATCCCTAACAAAGAAGTGATGAGGTATTTTTTTTAACATGGCCAATGTGGAATTTTTTTCTTGATTAATGCATTTTTTACCTAGTTTCGTTTATGATTTTCTTTTTTTTTTAAATAGGGGGACACTTTTTCAATAGGAGACAAAATATATTTTTGTTCATTAAAAGTGAAATTTAATTTTACAAAACTGAACTAATGGTTTTGTAAATATAATGGTTTTATAGATAGGAGCAATGAGAGATTAAATGTTTTGCCTAGGGACACACAGGCAATATCTGTTATAGGCTAAACATGTTGGACTTGGTGTAGGTCTTTTTGACTCTGAGGTCATCTACTCCCATTGGAAAAGCTAATATTATATGATTTTAAAGAGATAAAAGCAAAAGTCTTTAGTGCTATTTATGAGGTGCAAACATAAAAATGGGTGTGGAAGACTAATACATAACTGAAGTTCTCATTTGTCAATTAAAAATGATGTAAAAATTGCTTGGTCTTATATCAGCAGTAGTTCTACTGTCCCCACTGGTACCACCTCTCTCACCTGTCCCCTATTCTTACTTGTTTTAGCAAATGTTTAGCCTAGATGGGGGAGACTTAGGGATGTGATAGCTCTCTACAGGTATTTGAAATGTTGTCATGTTGATAAGAGATTAGTCTTGTGCTGCCTGGTCCCACTGGGTAGAACTAGGAATAATGGGTCAAAAATGCAGGAAGGCAGATATCAGCTTCATGGAAGAAAACACTGTCCAATAATTAAAGCTACCCCAAAGCAGAATGGGACACTTCGAAAGGCAGCAGGTTACCATCAGTCTTCAAGAAAAGAGTAGATGATTAATTGTCAAGAATATTTTTAGAGAGGGTACAAATTGGAGATACAAATTGGAAATACAGATTGAATTAGGTAGATTTTAAGGTCTCTTCCAACTCTGGGATGCTGTGTGATGCTGCTCCGTAATAGAAGCAACTAGTGAAATTAGATGTTATAGGTTTGAAGAAATGGAAAGAAAAACCAATCACATTTGTAACAGAAGTATATATTATAGATGTGTGGGATTTGGGGAATATAGAGCTTCTACAAGAAAGAGGATAAAACTTTGAGCATGACTCAGAAGTGAGAGTGGGAGAGCTCTTAACTTTAGCAAGAAGTTGAAGGGGCCACTATAGTTATGTGTGGTTGGGAGGGCCACAGCTACAAAGCCAGTCAGAGAAGGGGCTACTGTTAGAGAACTAGGAATCCACCTGGCTGGTAAAAGTCAATGGCATTGAATGGCCATTGAGGAATGGAGTTCAAGGACTGCTTAATGAAACTAAATCCCATTGTCAGTTACATTGGTAGATTTCATTTACTCTTAGCCAACAACTTTTTATCTTAATCTTCCAGCATCCAGGATCAAGATAAGATGCTTCAGGCCCTGTGGAATACATGTGAAAAACTTCCCAAGGCCAATCATAACAACATCAGGTAAGTAGAAATGGAAAGTGTCTGGACGATGTTCATTTTCTTGTCTCTGGTCTTCCACAGAAATTATAAGCTGAATGGACTCCTATTTCTGTGACCCAGTATCCAGGTGACCAACAGTTTCTCTCTATTAGTAATCTCATAGGCATTTAGCATTCATTTATCATTGCAAGCACTCATTATCATGGACAGGCATTTATCGATGTCTGTCGTATACTTAGTTTTAACATTAGTTATTTCCAATAAGTCCCTCCTAACTAACTCAGGGGCTGTCACTGTGAACAACCACTTCAAGATACCATTGACAAGGAGAACCTCTTTATCTTTACCAAGAACCCCTTGACTCACTACAGTGTACCTGAATACTCAAGTGACTTCATCAGCAGAAATTTGCTGAACTTTGCTGTTTTTGTACTTGGCAGAAGCATACAGTCTAGCAAGTATATATGACTTGTCCTTTCCCTTTGTTTTTCTGAGTATGACCTTTGGTCTAAGAACTTTGTCTTTTCAAGAAACAAACAAAAAAAAACTTCTGTTCTTTAGCTCAGGAGTTTACTTGAAAACCAGTTGTCAATGAATATAGACATTTAAAACAGGCCTCTGTTAAATATCAACATTATCTCCAATTTCCACTACCCTTTTTTAAATTGCCTAGATTTATTTACATTTGCCTTAGCACATTTCTCCTAAAGAGAAGAGTGAGCTACAGTCTTTCCCTGACCGTCATTCTTACTTTCCATGGATATTGTGAGAATAGGTAATAACACTGTGAAAAGTTGAGAGCTCCTTTATCAGGATCTTCCTTCCTGGGTATTAGTAGTAGAGTCATTATTCAAGGGTAAAAGTTGAGGACAACCAATGATAGTGGCCTTAGTGAGACTCTCACTTTTCATAAGGTATGTCTCTCATTGAGTTCTTGATTCTACTTTTTGGAATTCAGTCCCTATGTCCTTTATTCTGCATGTTAACATGTCAAGTCACTTATTTACAGATTCTGTGTTTTCACAAGAGTTCCTTACTGACACTATTGAAACTCTTCGTCTTATCTGGTACTCCCCCATCCACTCCATGGTCTTCAGGGATGTCTTCTGATCTGTTTGCTGTATGGTTAAACAGTGTTCTATTTTTTTGTTCTTTCTGCGGTATCAGTATCATCATGTGTACAGATGCATTTGTGTGTTGTATTGCTGTGTTTAACATTGATTGTCAGCATAATTATGTAAGATGGTTTTCAGTTGGTTTAACAGTAATTTTTAATAATGGATGAAGCAAACTGCCAATGCAAATTTTTTTTAATATCTTTTCCCAGCCACTATTTCTCCCTCCCCCACCAAGTGTTTATAATTTATTATGCAAAAATTAGGAGCATCAAATATTTATTTATCTCAAGTCCTCTTTGATATATCAGACTCCTAAACCTATTAAGCTTGCCACAGGGAAAAGAAATATTAGTTTCAGAAGATACTTTTCTATGCATGGGTTTATCTCTTCCTCTTTCCATGTATGGAAATAGAATACATAGAATACATATTTCTCTGTTGGGGAAAAGGGAAGATACCAGAAAATGGGTTTTCTATGATGTGATAAGATGTCATGAATGGATTTTGGGGAATAATGATGAATTTGTTGAGGTGGTATTTATTTAAAACAGATGTAGGCATCTTACTGAGATCTGAGCATGGCAAAAGAATATGGCAGGAATGACTTAGTCCAAGGACATGAGGACAATGATGATTATTCACATTTACATAGTGTTTTAGGGTTTACAAAGCATTTTCCTCATAATGTCCTTATGTTGCAAAATAAAATGTTACGACTGACTTCTCTAGGATATCTGTATCAAAGCAAGTATATATGAGTTCTTGTTTAGTTGAGCTGCACAAAACAAAATTCCTATCCAAGCATTTAACACTTTTTCAACCAATCCTTTTTGATTTCCTTTCAGATACTTGATCAAATTTTTAGCTAAATTGTCAGAATTTCAAGACACAAACAAGATGACCCCCAGTAACATGGCTATTGTACTAGGACCCAACTTGTTGTGGCCACAAGCAGATGGGTGAGTAAAGCACAAGGAGTTGTGAGTGATGTTAGCAGGAGAGGAATAATGGGAATGTAAAGCAATTGCCAGTAGTGTTCATATTTCAAGCCTTTGCAGCCCTCTCATGCTGGCTCTGTGGAATATTATTTTGGTCACAAGAAGGGGATACCATATGCTACTAAAGTACTTCCCTTCTCTATCTCTCCCACCCCTGTTGACATCCTCAGCTCAGGATGAGCCTGGAGATAAAATATGGATAAGTGCTAAGTTAGCATGGGTATCAAGACTGTAGTAAGTCTCCATGGCAGGGGCAAAGACCTAGCAAATTATATAGAAAACTTTTGCACGGCTCTTCCTAACACTTTGTCTTCTCAGACATAATCTTGACCAAAGATTCCAAATGCCTTTGGCATAAGTAATGCTTCTTGGAGTTCCCAAGACATCTCTGCCTTCCTCTGTCCATGACCTTCTGTTATATGTTTCAGGAATATTACTGAGATGATGACCACAGTTTCTCTGCAGATCGTTGGGATCATTGAGCCTATCATCCAACATGCTGATTGGTTCTTCCCTGGGGGTATGTAGTGGGTGATTTTAGCTTGTGAGGACTAGTGTCTGGTGGGCACCAGTAGGAAATAAGAAGTCTAGGACATAAGGATCACCAGCTCCAAGGACATTGAAAATGATGCATTGCTGCCTCAAGCATTTTCTATACCATGCTCACTTTCAGGTACATCAGAAAGGTCGTACCCATAATACATATTGGCACCATAAGCAGAATTTTTACCAGAGGGAATTTTTACTCCAAGTCATTGTTACACTAGAAAGCAAAAGTCTCTTGCCTTCTAGTGTAATAAGTCATTCAGTGATTTACTGCCAGCATCTTGATTCAGGTGGCAAAGAGTAGACATTCAATAAATGTCTGGTGAATGTTGAATTCATATAAACATAGGTCAGTAGAACTGAAATGGATCTTTAAAGATCAGAACCTGCTCATTTCATAAATGAAGCAAATGAGGTCCAAAGAGATGAAGTGGCAACTTAGTATTTTTGAAGTCTCTATTATTGTTTTATTTCCATATATGTATACATACATATATATATGTGTGTATATGTATATGTGTATGTGCATGTATGTATATGTGATGAACACTAACATATAATGTTGTTTTCCCAGTAGTGATATATTTCGGTAATTTATCTAAACTCTGTAATCCTATTCCCTTGGCAGCCAGCACATATAAATAAGAGACTGGTTTCCTTAGCTGTCTCATAAATTAGCTATACAGACTTTTTCCGAAACTCTCAAAGAGAAGTTCTAGAAATGTTTTGGGCAATAAATAGCATCATCATCCAAATAAGTGTAAGATCGTAGTATTTAGAGCTAGAAGGGACTCTTAGATATGATTTAATACAACCCTATCATTTCATTAACAGATGAGAAAACTAAGGACCAAAGAAGGAAAGTGACTTTGCTAAGGTCACATAGTAGGAGGACAGGAACCAAATCTCTGATTTCTTAAATCTGGTGTATTTTCTGCTTCACTACATTGCATTTACAGAGATTGAATCTATGATCTTTGCCTTATTAAAGTTCCATCATCATACATAGGCTGTCCCATAATGCTTATAATATATCTCCTCTTCACTTCTATCTTTTAGAATCCTTAGCTTCTTTTAGGGAAGCACTTCCTAGTGAATCTTGTTTTAATAAGATACTAGGGCCTTCCTACACCCCACCAAAAATTACCTTGTATTTAATTTGTATATATTTGGTATTTATTTATATATGTACATATTGTTTTCCACAAGAGAAAGTAATTTCACTGATTTTTGTATCCCTAGTATCTAGCACTGTGCCTGTGCATACAGTAGGCACTTAATACTTATTGGCTTGATTCTTAGCTTGAACCGAGATAATTGGACTTATAATAGTTCTACATCCTTTTCTTGTTGCCAAGTTAGTGACATTACTTTGTAATCGTGATTTTCTTCTCATAAGATAGCTATTGCTAATGTTAGGAGTGGTTCATGTGGGTATCAGACTCTGAGCTTGCTAGCTCTATATTCTAACCGCCTATGAAAACTAGTCTCATACTAATCTAAGATTGAAAAAAATTAATTCATATTATTTCTGCTTTGTGTGTCACCATCTGAGAGATGAGTTATTGATTATTCTGAGAGCTATATTGATGGCAAAGAACGGAAACTGGGAAGAGGATGGGGTAGGGATTTTGTTCAAAAATGTGAATAACAAAGTGGGAATGGAAAGATGGAAAATTGTGGCTGTGTGGGCTCTGGGAAGAGTTGGTAAGTAAATTCTTATAAAAAAAGGAATTGCCAGGCTAAAGTTAGTGGCATGGGGAATGGGTGAGATGGACCTTTCTATGTGGGAAAGCAAGAGGAGGAGATATCGCTTGCCCTCATATGGGAGCGGGGAGGGGTAGTGATAAGACATGAGGCTTTACACACCCATTCTTTCTTCCCTGGCAGAGATAGAGTTCAATGTCACAGGTAATTACGGGAGCCCTATACATGTGAACCACAATGCAAATTACAGCTCAGTGCCATCTCCTGATATGGACCCTCCTGATCAGCGACAGCCTGAGCCAGCCCGGCGGCCCCTCAGTGTGGCTACTGATAATATGATGTTGGAGTTTTACAAGAAGGATGGGTATGATCAGATATTTCTTTCTCAGCCCTCGGAAAGGCAGGTGGGGAGGGAGGTATAAGAAAAATACAGTTTGATGGAAAGTTTGTAAACCTTAGCAGCAGCAAAGAGATATCCAAATGTCTGTTGAATTCACAAAAACATAAGTTTGTAAAACTGGAATGGATAAAAATTTAAACCTTTTATAGAGTTCTGTATCACCTATACCAGTAAGTGGCCAGAATGAAAAACAACAGAACAACAAAAAAACTGCATCTCCCATTTAAACCTTATGTAGAGTTCAGCATCACCCATTCTAGCCTGTAGCCAGGATCAAAACCAACAACAAAACCCTACATCTCCTATTCCTAGTGGACAGCCAGGATTAAACACACACACACACACACACACACACACACACTCTCTCTCTCTCTCTCTCTCTCTCTCTCTCTCTCTCTCTTCTCTCTCTTCTCTTTTCTTCTCTTCTCTTCTCTTTTTATGCCAGAAGTTCATATGAACCAAGTAGTCACTTCTTCAAAAGAAGGAGGAATAAAAAGCACCATCAGTAAGATCTAGATAATGAAAAATTAAGCTCGACCTTTATCAGTGCCTCTCACAATGCCCCAAATAGGGCATTAGGGTAGGTGGGTAGCTCCATTAGAAAGGCATGTCACCATGAATTATTTCAGAAAGGATTTGAGTCTTAAGATGAGGGTGGTCTCCTCTGTCTGCAGACCAGCTTTTCCATATGGTGGTAGGGAGGGCTGGGTAGGATGCCTGGAGTCTCATTTTCCCTAAAAAGGGTGAGCAACCTTCTTTTTCCTGAGTGACCAGAGAGTTCTTTCCCTGTTAACTAGAAACCTTGGGATTCATCCCAGAGGTTTTTGGGGATTATTTATCTTTCTTTCCTGTTAAGGATAAGATGTGGCATATTTAGGGAGCAAACTAGGAGAGTACCAGAAATTCATAGTCCCTTAGTTATCTCAGGGAAGGAGTTCTGATTTTTGTGTGAATGTGAAACAATAGGTACTGTTAGGGAATTGTCTAATTTAATTTAATCTCATTTTCATGTTTGGACTTTAAAATGATATTTTACTATTACTGTTAAGTGATTGGTAATCTTTGTCTAGAGCACCTCCAACCTGATCAGAGCCTCTGAAGACATTTTAGAAAGAATCCAGACCTGGAATTAGAGCCCTGGTCCACATTTGCTCCTTGTGTCCCTTAGTTGAGTCAGTCTGCTCTTCCTTCCCTCTAACCCTAAGGGGCTGGTTCCTAAATACCTCCCTCTGGCAAAACTTTTATTTATATATTTATTTTAGGGGGAGGCAATTGGGGTTCAGTGACTTGCCCAGGGTCACACAGCTAATAAGTGTCAAGTATCTGAAGCTGGATTTGAACATAGGTCCTCCCGATTCTAGGGCTGGTGATCTCTATTTACTGTACTACCCAGCTGCCTCTGGCAAAACATTTTACAATGATTTCTAAGGAGTTGTGTTTTGGACCATGTTGGGGCACTAATAGTCCGTTAACCATCAATGGGAAAGAAACAGTGAACAAATAGTGGTACCTTAAACAATCCCCAGTTAGCCGACATCTAGAATTACTTTTGCCACTACTATAGTTCTCTCGAACCAGCTACATCCAATGTTGGCAACGTTTCAGAAGTTTCGTTCTAACACTTTATTCTGATTTATGGTTTCATGTGTCAATCATTCATCAATGTCTATGAAGTCTCTCTACATATAACCAAAATATTGTCTCTTATGAAGTAATTAAATTTAAATGAAAGTATAGTTCTTACTTATTGAGTATGTTCCCTGTCCAGGCTTTTTATTAATGAATTTTCCCATTTCTAGCATATATTTAAATGCTTTAAATATATAAATATGTGCATCTGAATAACTATGCTCCCAAAGTACAGAAGATTGATTTCATGTACAGATACCTATATCATATTGGCATGGGGATTCATTGTTGAATGAACTTCAAATTCAATTTTCTTCAAACAAATTTCACTAACAAGTTAGAATCACATGTGCTCTATTGGTGTCTCCTTTAATGTCAGTGGTTCTGAGGTTTTTGCTTTTATGATTTGCATTTCAAAATACTCAATACCAGCCAACAAATATGTCCATATTATTATTATTATTATCACAACATTTTTGGTTCAGTTAAAAATACTGGGCCATGTCACTTAAAAGGTTGATGCCTATTTAAAATATACTCCTTATACATATATTACAGTGTCTTCTACAGTGATATATTTGTTGTGTGTTTTAAAAATAACAGGAAGTAGAAATTCAAATATCCCAAGAAAAAACTAGTTTCATAACTGATGCTCCATAGGTTTCGGGAAAGGATAAGTTAGTTTAGGGGAATGGTGAGGTCAGTCAGAAAATAGCTTTTGTAGCTATTTGTTAATATCTGCTTCATAGTAGTTTCGCTCTTTTTCTTACTAAAAGAAATTGATTACATCAATACAGTTTACAAAACAAAACACTATCAGAAATGATGCTATGAAATGGAATGCTCTTATAGATCTTATAGCATAGTTCTTCTAGTCTGAATCACAGCAGATGGAGAAACAATGAAATTTTTAATTGGCGTCATTGTATTCAAGCTGTCATTGAGTTTTAAATCTGAAATCTTTGTAATTAGGTTTTCTCAATGAATAATGCAATGAAATTGGCCTAGCAGGAAGTTTATTTCATCTTAAGGGGACTTCAAGAATCTTTTCTATTTTCTAGCCATGGCAGGAGCACTATTTGTTTTCATGCACAGGCACACACACAATCACCTTTTCTAGAAGGCAGCTAGATTATTCGGTGGACCTGAAGTCAGGAAGACCTGAGTTCAAATCCAGCCTCATATACTTATTAGTTGTATGACCTTGAGCAAGTCAAGTAACCTCTGTTTGCCTTAATCCACTGGAGAAGAAAATGACAAACCACTTCCAATGTCTTTGCTAAGAAAATCCCATGGACTCTATGGTCTATGGTGTCATGAAGAGTTGGACATGACTGAACAACTGAACAACAAATATATGTGTGTGTGTATATATACATATGCATATATACCTATATAAATAGTATATGTGTGTTATTTACAGTGAGAAATAATGTATAACTGTCTGTGCCTCACCATTGAATTGATAAATTAATCAATCGACATGTTCTTATTAAAATAACTACTGTGGACCATTTAACTTACTGTTAGGCACTGAGGATACAAGTACAGGTACAAAGAATGAAACAATCCCTACTCACATTGAATTTACACTCTAGTAGGGGAGATAATAAGTATGTGTGCATGCATATGCATGTTTACTTATATTTATATAAATATACACATATATTATACATAGATACAAGTACAACTTTATATATAACTATGTAAGTATTTGTATATGTAGAATAAACATGAGTATATGTTTATATGTACATATGTGCATATAGAGAGAATAAGTACAAATATCTACAAGAGTAGTTAAATTTAAGGTAGTTTGGGAGGGAGAGCATTAGTAGAAGCAAGGAGATGGAGGACAGTGTATTGTTTATGATGAACAGAGAATCCAGTCTAGCTCAATTAAAAACTTAAGGGGAGACTCATCCAGTAAGGCTAGAAAGATAGTTTGGGGTTGGATTGTGTAGGACTTTAAAGGCTAAACAGATCAGTTGAGATTTTATGCTGAAGGCAATAGGAAGCCACTGGAATCACTTAAGGAAAATTACTTTGGCAGAAGTATATAAGATAGACTGGAACAGTGAGAGATTTGAGGAAGGAAGACCAATTAGGAGGCTGTTGGAATAATGAGAGACTTAACCAAGGTGGTAGCTGCATGAGTAGAGAGAAGGGGTCAGAGGCAAGAGCTGTTATGAGAGTAAAGATGACAACTGGCAACTGGTTTGGCAACTGGTTGGATATGTAGGCTGAGGAATCATGAGGAATTGAAGATAATGCCAAGGTTATCAAGATGGGAGACTGGAAAAATTATACTATTTTCAACAGAAATGGGGAAGTTTGGAAGAAACGAAGGTTTACAAGGGAAATATGAATTCAGTTTTGGACAATTTGAGTTTAAGATGTCTCTAGGACATGCAGTTTGAAATGTCCAATAGGTAGCTGGTGATACAAACTAAAACTCAGGAACTAAAGAAACTGGAGCTGAAAATATAAATCTGATGAGCCTATTACCAAGAAAGTATGGAGAGAGAAGAAAAACAGGGCCTAGCATAGTACCTTAGGGATGACATATAAATAAGGGAATAATATTAATGATGTGCCAGCAAAAGAGACTGAAAAAGAAGGTCAGAAAGATCAGAAGCCAGCTAGGAGAAAATGTCATCACAGAAACCCAGAGAAGATAAATATCCAGTAGGAGTGAGAGGTCCACAAGTGTCAAATGTATCAAGACAGGTTAAGAAGAATCAGGACTGAGAAAAAGCCATTCTATTTGGCAGTCAAGAAATTATTTGTAATTTTGGAAAGGGCAAGTTTCCTTTAGACTGAAAAAGAGTGAATGACAGAATAAATGACAGTAGTGAATATAATTTTTTCATTTGCCTAAAAAGGAGAGGAGAGATACAGGATGTAGCTTGAGGGGATAATAGAATCTAGTGATTTTTTTTAAGGATGGGAGAGACCTGGACATGTGTGAAAACAATTGATTAGCTTTTAGAAAGAGGTTAAGGGAGGGGCAGCTAGGTGGCACAGTGGGTAGAGCACCGGTCCTGAAGTCAGGAGTATCTGAGTTCAAATCCAGTCTCAGACTAACCACTTGCCACTTGCTAGTTATATGATCCTGGACAAGTCACCTTACCCCAGTTGCCTAAAAATAAAAAAAGGAAAAAAAGAAAGAGGTTAAGGACAGAGGGGTGATTGTGGATGCAATACTATGGAGAATATAATCAAATATAATCAAATGCTTGTGCAGATATCTTGTCAAGAAGAGCCAGAGCCACCCAGTCAGTCAGAGAATCAGTTATCAAATTAGACCATTACTATTAAGGCAGTTAATAAATGCTAGTTTACTGACTGATACCCCCTGTTAGCAGACATGGCTTGGACAAAGGAAACTGAAACAAACTTAGACAAGTAGGAGAAGAACCTGTATAGATTTGTACCAGAGAAAGCTTGAGAGGGGGAGAGAGACAGAGACAGAGACAGAGACAGAGAGAGAGAGAGAGAGAGAGAAGAGAGAGAGAGAGAGAGAGATTCTTCCTTGAATCTCATCTACCAACCTATATTTACTGAGGAATTAAGCTAATTTCCTGCCCTTTTTCCCAAACTACCAGGGCAGATGAGGGCAAGAGGATTGTTCCAGAGATATCTCAAACTCAAGTGGCTTGAATTCTACAGTGGCTGCTAGGACCAAGACAGTCCAATCCTATGAGCACTACAGATAATAAGCAGTTGTCCTTGGCTTGCTTCTACCTATTTTGAAGCTATATGTCACACTTAAAGGGACCTCAGAAGAGATCTAGTTCTACCCAGACCTGAATAGGAATTCTTTCTACAGCATACCTGAAAACAGGTCAGCCACCTTCAGTGGGAGTCAAGGGTATAGATTTGGGATATCCCACAGTAGAAATGTTCATATGCTTCCAATTTTGCCCTGAAGTTTACCTAGATATGGCCAAAATATGATATTATGAATCCTATCATTGCCTTCCAGGGAAAAAATAAAGATGAATACATAATTGGGCAAGAATTCCCATCCCATCTTAACTCTCTCTTTCTGGAAATCAAACATCTACAAGTGTTTTTCCCACTATAGTAGCTATGCCAAGCCAAAATTCTCTAAGGTGTCTATGCCCCAGCTGCTATACCCATCCATAGTAAATATTCAGTATGTATTGCTGTTCCACTTTGATATCAATCTATTTGAATGTTTCTTTTGGGAGAGGGAAGTTCTTGGATTGACTATAAAAATAAGTGTGTGACTTTCGTTCCTTCCTCCTTTTCTTAGTGCCCCATATTGGGAGCATTGGGGTTATGAGTACACAATGGCATCTCTTTCTTTATGTGAGTGGTTTATTTTTGTTTAATGTTGTGATCTACTTTTTGGTCAGGGAAATACATGAACCACAGTTGTCATTTATACTTCTGTATTTGACTTTGATCCAAATTAAAGGGAAATTTACAGTGTCAGTTCACTTAAAAGCAGATGGATCTCCCTGTTAAACCATCTCGTTCTCCCTCCTCCATCCGCATCCCTACCACACTGTCTCAACAAGACTCTGTATGGATTTATGGGATATTTTCACCATTACCAATGGAAAATAAATTTTGACCACATAAAAAGTATTAAATGAAGTGAGTAAAGGGCTTATTATATATCCATACTCTTGATAGGTGCTCCTTTATTGGGTCCTTGTCACCCAAAAAAAGATTTAGTTTTTTTGACGCTAATGTTTGTATGTTTTTGTCCATGCAGCCTTAGGAAAATCCAAAGGTATGGTATCCGCTAGTAGCTGCTGGGCTATGTTCAGCCTTTTAAACTTTAAGCTAACTATGTCCCAGTGAATTCTTCAAGAAGTTGAATGCTCCATGTTTGGTTGCTTGGCAAATATTTATTGCTGTGTTTTCATCATTAAATTAGAATCCCAAAATTGTGGAGTCTAACCCCCACAATTTGCATATGAGGAAACTGAAGCATAGAAGACACTTGCCCAAAGCCATATAATTAGCAGTGGAGCCAGACTAGACTATAGATCTCATGACGCCCGCTCAAGGACACTTTCTACTACACCAAGAGACCAACACATAGTTGTTAAATTTGCTCTGTATCGTACCAGGCTTTAAAGAACTGATCTGATGTTTCTGCTTGTTTGGGGGGTAACCTAAAGGCCCAGCCAGTAATATCCATGTATTTTCCCTTCCCTTGCTCAAAAATCTTTCTAGACAAGATCATCTTGTACTTTGAGGGAAGGTTTGACTTTGTGGCAAACAGACTCTTAATATGGCCAGCTGGGTTTAGTAGCATATTGAAGTACCACAACCCTATCCTTAATTCCTCCTGCTAAGGAAAACAACTCTACTGAAACCTACACGAACCAGAGTTGTCATAGGCTGGCCCCAGCAGAGTGTGTGGGTGGGAAAAACTTGCTTTTAATTCCCATTTCAATTCAGAAGAAACAATTGCATTGCTTATCCTGAAGGGGAAGAAGGCTGTGCTCAGGCTATGCTAATGTTTCACTTTTGTGCAGATGTGCTTTAATGTTTCTGCTTTGTTGGGAAGGGATCCTGCCAGTTATATTATAGGATGGTAAACAGGTGTCTTTGTGTCATTCCCCAACCAGCATGGGTGTGAGGGTTATGGATACATCTTGGGTGGCCCGAAGAGGTTCCTCTGTCACCCGAAAATCATCCTGTACTCCACCAACTGTGCAGCCTCCTGCTCCACCTTCTGATCTTACTGTTCCACCTCAGTCACCGGTTCCTGAGGAGTTACTTGACATTTCAGCAACTTCTTCCCATCCTCCATCTAACTTTGGCTCACAATCTATGGCTGAGCAGACAAGGTAAGAAAGAAGAACACTCAGGATGTGGAAGATCTCTACTTGCCCATGTCCATTTGGTGGCTCTTTTTGATTCAGTTACGGTGCTTTTCCTTTTCTAAATATTTATGGGCGACTTTCTCCAGAAGTGTGGCACAGAATAATCTTCTCTGAAGTTCCCCTAAAGAATAAGGGAGATTTGAAGCTTTTCAAAATCTTCATTCTGGGTTAAAAAGAGTTAAGGTGGTATTTTTTTTCTTTTTGCTAAAGCAGAATATGGGAAAGCTAAGATTGCATTCTAGAATTTCTCTTTCCTTTTGTAATTTTCATGATTTTAAAAAACTTAATTAGTGTCTTTATTTTTAGATCACGTCATTTCTAGATATTATTTCTCCCACTCCCTAGTTGAAGCCCCTGGGACCATATCTATGTAATTGTCGTATTTAGTGAGAAATCCTACTATCATGACTCCCCCTGCCCCAACAATTTTGTAGGTATCTTGGGTGAAGACTAAGTGATAATATTGCCCTCTGATTGTAGCAAATACAAGTGGTTTGTCACAAGTCAACAGACAGCAACAGCGCATGTCCCCTGGCTAGTCAAGATTTCTAAGGACACTGCTAACTATGTTAGCAGAGTAGTAGTCCTCAAACTGTTATGGAGGAAGGTTTGGGCTGTTTATAATAATACCGTCATTACATATCTGTTTATCAAATCCATTTCCCACCTAAAACCTTACATTATTCTCATAAATTCCCTAAGAAGAAGGTAGGATTGGTATTTTTTCATTTCATAGGTGAGGAAACTAGAACCCCAAGAGATCATGATGTCCTCAAGATTAGTGACAAAACAAATTAGTGACAGAGTAGCTGTCCTAGTCTGATGCACTTTTCCCACTACCATTGCTCAAATTCTTCCATTCAGATTTTTTAGGTTTCATTTTCACTTTGAAAGAAAAATAAAACCAGGTTCATAGATCTGGAGCTTGAAGGGACCTAATGGGTCATTTAGTCTAACTCCTCATTTTATGGAAGAGGAAAAAGAGGCCCAGGGAGGATAAATGACTTGTGGGATTTTAACCCAGTCCTCTAACTTCAGAGCCAGTGCTCTTCCCAGTATATCACACAGCCTCCTTCTTTCTAGGTGGCAGGAAAAACACCAAGGAACACATCATGTCATCTGCTCCCCTGACTAGGCTTATCTCTTTGAAAAGCAAAAGGGAAATTACATATCAATAAACATTTACTAAGGGCTTACTATGAGCCTAAACTGTGCTTGGTGTTGGGAATACAGAGGAAAAAACAAATCAGACTCTACCCTCAAGGAACTTACATTCTAGAAGCAGGGGAAACATACACATGTGTATTTACTTAGATAAGTAAGTAAATATAAAATATACATGTAGTGTACAGAAGGTAATTTCAAGGAGGAGGCTGTAGCTTTTGGAGAGGTCAGGAAATCATTTAGAGAAATAGAAAAAAAACTGATACAATTGTTCATTAGAGGTGAAAAAAACCTAAGGGACTGAGTCCCTTATTTTGCAGTTGAAACTGAGACAAGAGAAGGTAAATGACTTGCTCAAAAGTGTCGTGTTTTATGTTGAACTATTGAAATTCACATATCAACTCTTTTGTGATCATCAGCATCTACAAATTATAGGCCTATGAGATTAACTTCAATTCCTAACAAAATTCTAGAATGCATTAAAGGAATTCTACAAAGTGCTAATCAGCTGCCTCATCCTGATGCTCAGAGTGAACTTGGACTCTACAAGACTATGCTAGAGGATTATACAATTCTTGAAGTACAGTCCCAGTGACAAATCACCTCATATCTGAAGACCTAGCTAAGTGTAGCAGAGGATTGACTAACCCATATCCCATGGTGTATGCATGCAGATGGGATCTTGGGGTCCATTCCATAGACTACATGTGGAGCTAAGTTGAGCTTTTCTGGTGACATGTAGTCTGACTCATCACTCTGAAAACTGTTAGAATCCAATTTGGGGGTGGGGGGGAAGAAGAAGAGACTATTATGGCACCTTTACAAAAACTGACCATGCATTAGATATAACTTCACAAATATATGAAAGGAGAATTATTAAATACATCTTTTACTGACCACAATGCAGTAAAAATTATATTTAATAAAAGATTTTTGGGAAAAGTTTAACAAATTTATTGAAGACTAAATGGAATCTTGAAGAAGTGGTAGGTCAAAGAGTAAATCATAGTGTTTTCATTAAAGATAATGGACACAATGAGACAACCTACCAACATAACAAAATTTTTAGAGTACAACCAAAGTAACCCCTGGGCAAAATCTATCTCTAAAACAATTTCATAAACAACTGCCTTAGAGGGTAGGTTGTGAAGAGGGGTATAAACTTAAAGAAAGAGTAAGAAGCTGTGATTTGGATCTTGGTGAGGGGAAAAGAAGAGGGACAGGAGGGGATGGGAGGTTGGTTGCATCAAGCCTAGAGCACTGGTACTCAGCATACTCATGTTTTGTGACCTTCTTCTTTGCAAAAAGTGCCAGGGAATGAAAAGAGGAAAAGGGATAAGTGAATAAGATGGAAACTGTAAATTGAATGGGAAGAACATACTATAAAACAGAAGAGGATAACAGAATATATTAAAAAGCAGAATCCAATAAAATGTTGTTTTACAACACTTGAAAAAAATTCATACGAAGTTGAAATAAGGGCCTAGAGCAAAATCCATTGTGCTTCAGCAGAACTCAAAAAAGCAGAGATTGTATTTATATTCTCAGATAATGAAAAATAGATTTCATCTTAAAAGATAAACAGAAAAACTACAATTTATTGAAAGGTACCATAGATAATAAATTAATTTTAATACATAAAATATATGTGCCAAATGGAATTGAACCTAAATACTTAAAGGAAAAACCAAATGAGTTATATGGAGAAATAGTAAAATTATAATGAGAGGGAGGGGGATGACATGGCTACTTTAGAAAAATCACTTTGGCAGCTGAGTGGAGGATGAATTGGATTGACAGAGAGACCTGAGGCAGGAAAACCAATTAGGAAGCTATGGCAATAGTCCAGGTATAATGTGATGGTAGCCTAAACCATGGCTGTGGCCATGTGCATGGAGAGAAAGAGAATATTTCAAAAGTGTTGGAGAAAATTGAATGGAAATAGAAAGGAATATATCTTTTTCTCAGTGGCACATGGCACCTACACAAATATTTACCACGTATTAGGGCATTAAAAACTATACAAGCAAATACAAAAATACTAAATGCATCATTTTCAAACTATAAGGCAATACAAATTACATCCAATAAAGGGCCATAGAAAGATAGATTAAAAATTAATTGGAAACTAAATAAACTAATCCTAAAGAATGAGTGGGTCAAATCATAGAAATAATTAGTAATTTCATTAAAGAGAATGACAACAGTGAGACAACATACCAAAATTTATAGGATGCAGTCAAAGCAGTACTAAGGGAAAATTTTATAACTCTAAACACTTATGTCAGTAAAACAGAGAAAGAACAGATCAATGAATTGGCTATCCAACTAAAAAAACTAGAAAAAGAACAAATTAAAAATCTTCAAGTAACTCAAATTGGAAATCCAAAACATCAAAGGAGAGATTAATAAAATTAAAAGAAAACCATTGAACTAATAAATAAAAATAGGAGATTTTTTTTTATGAAGAACCTCATAAAATAAATAAACCACTGGTTAAATTAATTTTTTGAAAGAAAGAAAACTAAATTACCAACATCAAAAATGAAAAGAGTGAATTCACCACCAATGAAGATTAAAAATTATAGGAGCTATTTTGCCCAGTTATATGCCAGTAAATATAACAATCTAAGCAAAATGGATGAATGTTTACAAAAACATAAATTGTTCAGGTTAACAGAAGAAGAAATAGAATACTTGAATAATCCCTTCTTAGAAAAAGAAATTGAACAAACCATCAATGATCTCCCTAAGAAAAAATTGCCAGGACCAAATAGATTCACAAGTAAATTCTACCAAGCATTTAAAGAACAATTAATTCAAATACTATATTAACCATTTGGAAAAATAAGCAAAGAAGGAATCCTACCAAATTCCTTTTATGACACAAATAAGGTGCTGACACCTAAACCAGGGAGAGAAAAGAGAGAGACAGAGAGAGAGAACACTATAGATCAATTTCCTTAATGAATATTGATGCAAAAAATTTTTAAATAAAATACTAGCAAGGAGATTGCAGCAATATATCACAAAGATCATACACTATGATTAGGTGAGATTTATATCGAGAATGCAGAGCTAGTTCAATATTAGGAAAACTATCAGCATAGTTAACCATATCAATAACAAAAAAAAATCTCATGATCATCTCGATAGATGGAGAAAAAGCTTTTGACAAAATACAATACCCATTCCAATAAAAACACTAGACAGCATAAGAATAAATGGAGTTTTCCTTAAAATGACAAGTAGTATCTACCTAAAACCATCAGCAAGCATTATTTCTAATGGGGATAAGCTAGAAGCTTTTCCAGTAAGTTGAGGGGGGAAACAAGGATGCCCATTATCACCACTATCATTCAATATTATACTAGAAGTGTTAGCTATAGCAATAAGAGAAAAAAATTGAAAAAATTAGAATAGGCATTAAGGAAACAAAAACTATTACTCTTCACATATGATGCTGTGGTATACTTGGGGAATCCTAGAGAATCAACTCAGAAACTACTTGAAATAGTTAACAACTTTAGCAGAATTTTGAGAGGAGTAACTTGAGGTCCCCCACTAGTGTAGTTTTATTATTTTTTCCTGTAACTCCTTTAGCTTTTCCTTTAAGAATTTGGATGCTATGCTATTTGGTCCATATATGTTTAGTATTGATATTACTTCGTTATCTATGGTACTTTTTACAAAATGTAGTTTCCCTGCTTATCTCTCTTAATTAAGTCTATTTTTGCTTTTGGGAAGCTAATAGAGTATCAGATCTGTAGTCAGGAAGACTCATCCTTCTGAGTTCAGAT